TCTCTCTCTCTCTCTCTCTCTCTCTCTCTCTCTCTCTCTCTCTCTCTCTCTCTCTCTCTCTCTCTCTCTCTCTCTCTCATATGTTGTTGGTGATGATACTTGCATTTGGGCTGGACAAAACCAACGGTTTTTGGGGGCCTCGTACAAAATAATAATTTATGTAAATAATATATAGTTCCTTTTAATATATATTATTTTACTATTGAATGTTGATATTTTGTTTTTTATTATCAATAAAATTTAAAATAAATCAATGAAAATAAATAATTTAGAATTATCTTATATTAATATTTTATTATAAATACAGTTTAATTATATATATTTTATATTTATGAATATTGTTTATAGTTTTATTTATTTGTTATATAATTTAACTATATATAAATATTTTTGTAATAAAAATGAATAAAAATATGAGGCCTTTAACCCGTTCGTAAGACGGCCCTGCACGCAATGGACTCATCTTCGATTTCAGATTTGGTGTTTAGTTTAAAAAAAAAATAAATCGAATTACAATTAAATTATATTGGGCCGAAATAATTGGGCTTCATAGGTCCAGGCCCAAATATAATCTTCTTTTGTGAATCACTGAATCTCTTCCGGGTTCATAGGGTTGATCCGGTTTTCAATTTTCTTATATACAATAAATAAATAGTTACAAAGAGAAAATTGGTGGGTCACCAAATACGTACACTTTTTAAAATTTAGCGAGAAAAACAGTTTTTTTAAAATTAAAATACATTTATTTGTCTTGGGTTATTAGATATTTCTTTAACGTTATTACATTATACATTATTTCTAAATTTAATTTAAATATTCATTTACTTAAAAATAATAAGGATGAGAGCAACATTTTTTTCTTAGAGTTGGCAATTTTTATTTTGAAATAGATAATAAATAATTATTGCATCTGAAACCAAAGTATAAAAGAAAATGGAAAAACCTAAAAACAAATAGCTAACGTATAACCATATTACCTACATTTCGGTTTCTAGCTTTGTCGTGATTTGATATTTTCTGTTTTAATATTGACCCAACTTCATATTTATCGCATTTGTTCCATATATATATCTATATATATATATATATATATATATAATAAGGTAGCGGTGGATCACGTATCGTATGGGAAGTGAAGCCTATGAATGACGTGGCGAATTTGATATAGGCCAACTGTCACAGCAAATGGGGTAACTCTCATGTTTCTGGTCAGAGGGTGTTTTTGTCAATCCAACCAGATAAGATTGAGAAATATATATATTATCTCCCACCATAATAAATAATTGGATTGTATAATAGTTAATTCACCTGAGAATCTCGAGCTTTCATAACCAATTTCTAATCTACCCACCAAATTCCCATCCATTCGCTTTATATTTTGCACGTAATGTTCATGTTATAATCAATTGTTTCATCCGATAAAATTTTCAAATGCGAATTTTAATTTACTAAATTATATATTAAGGGAAATTGATAACATTTTACAAATATATATATTTTGGTTATACTCTTACGATCACTAAAATCCATATAGTTTCGTGATCACTTTATAAGCCCCAAAAATATATAGCTACCGACTGCATATAGATATTTGGATTTTTAATAATTAATTTGATATATAGTTGCAAAAAACCATAATTATTCGTCCAAAGTTTAGTCATTTCCTTTTGTTTATCCAATAATGACCAATGTGAAGCAAACATATATCATAAGAACATAAAAGAATACAAACCCGTAATCATTTACAAAACAAAAATAAATCAATTAACAGGTTCTGTAAACCAGACATAATATATTTAAGCAAACATACATGAAAAAAAAAATCACGAGAAATTTAATTTTCATTTATTATATAATTTCAATGGAAAAATGGCTTGAAAGTGCTCACCACCTTCTTCACTTGATCCACAAACGACGTATACGACACCGTTCCATCGTTCCCCGCCAACACCCTGTACTTATCCTTCCTCGTGAAGTTAGTGCACTCAAACCCTAACGTAGCCGCTAAGATTCTCTGCACGTAATTCGCCACGTCATGAGGGCTCTTCCCCGACGAACACGTGGCCTCCACGGGAAGCTGGTTCAAGAACGTAACCTCGTACACTGGTCTAGGGTTCATGAAGAAGAAAATCGGGTCAAGACCCTTCCAGCCTCTCGCCGTCGTCGCATGAAAGAATCCGACACGATAGTTCATCGCGACTGGAACGATCCTGTCCGTTAATTCCGCGAAAAGCCCACTAAATCTCAGCAAGAACGGTTCACGACACGTCGTTCCCTCTGGACACACGACAAGATCTCCGTTGGACAACTCCCTTTTGATCCTCTCGGCGTCGACATGTCGGATTCTGGTCAATCGGACGGTCGGGATAGGAGATAAGATCTCGGATAATCTCGAGATCGAGTAAGTAACGGCCGGGATTCGTCGGCCCAAAACGTAGGATAAGACGACGGGGTCCATTAGAGTTCGGTGGGTGCAAACGAAGAGTACGCCGGAATTTCCTCCGGCGGGAGGCGACGGTGGCTTGCCCTTGACAATGACTCGGCCGCCGAATATGCTCGAGACGTAGGGAATGGCCCACAACGGGAGGACGAAGCCGATGAGGATTCGGACAGTAGCAAGGACGATTCCGAATGGGATCCAGAGGAGGATGAGGAGCGCGGTCACCGGCGTCGGCCGCTTCACCAGGCGGCCGTCGTGAAAGATCACTGGTTTCGGCCGCAGCTGAAGTGTCCGGTTACGGTTGTTGTGGCTGTTGTTCGCCGGAATAGGTGAATGCATTTGTTCCTATACATATTCATGTATAAATTGAGAAAATGATTATAGCTAAATATCTAATAGACCATTGAAATGATAGTAAATGTAACAGTGTTACAGTACAATATAATCGTCTGTGCAATATTTTTCATACGTATATTTTTTTTGTTGTATATTTGAATACTTACCTCACATATCGATAAGAACGTGGCAGAACTCGTACGGACTGATCTTCCAAGACCAAGGCGAGGTCTATTACCGATAAACAAATTGCCAACCCGGTTCGAAATAGATCGATCAATGTCGGTTTCCTTTATTAAACCGGTGGAAAAACCGAACCGATTCACAACCAGCTCGGTACCTATGACGTCATCGGCTCGGAGATGATCCTTCGCGAACATCTCGGCCATAATCCTAGGCATTCTCGTGACCACGACCCTCTTATCGTGCGAGCTAAACACCCTCCATGCGTCCATGCTGATGTCATCCATGTAGAACTTTGGCAAAACCGCTCGAGCCACCGACTCGATCTCCGATTCACGTAGACCGACCGTGGCTACTAAGATCATGAGTCTGAGGCTCGCGTCTCGAGCCCCGAAAAGGTCTAGGGTCGCGATCACCGGCCACAGAAGTAACAGGACAGCGAAACGGACCAAACCGGAAGATTCGAAAGCAATGAGCATGAAGTAAGAGAATGGGTTATGGTTTTTCAGTAACGTCCCTTCGAGCTCGGACACGACCGAGGACGATGATGATGACGATGAATCCATGAACGTGTAATTTCGATATTCTTTAGGGTTTTTTTTTTGGCGGGGTAATTGGTTTTTTTCTGAGGGAATGAATTGGAATATAAAGTTGATGTTCTAATGGTTGGATTGACTGGTCTCTAATGCGAATAACAAGGCAGTTTATCAGTTTCACAACCACCTTTTATATACACAAACTCTCGCCTTTTATTTATTTATTTGTTTGAAAAATTTTAAAGAAGTCAATCACATTGATTGATGAAGCAAATATAAATACGCACACGTCACGCTTTATATATATTGCCTTGTTTGATGAAATGATCAGAGTGGATATTTCCATTCCTATTCCCAAATATCAACATTGAATTGAATTAAAAATATAATTACATTTTAATCAAATCCATTTTTTTAAAAAAGAAAATTAAATAAATATATTTTTAATAGAAACCAAATTCCAATCCAATAGAAACATACACATGCCAGTTATGAATACAGGGCAGGAAAGGGGGGGGGAAATTTGATGACTTAACTCCACCAATTTGGGCGGGCTGCAACGATATTATTAGGTCACGCGTATACCTAAAAAATACGCCGGATTGGACTGTTTAATTAAAATTAGGTCACTGACCTTTTATAACATATACTTTTGGAATGTGTATGTATATACTGTATTTTATACGCTTACCCAATTGCCCATTGCATAATATATATAACTGTATGTATATATATAGAGACGAACACGAGCACCTGTATGCATACTATACATATAACTGTATGTATATGCGCATGCATACATATATATAAAAAAAAAAGTTTGTTTCGCTGGAATGCTTCTACGTACTTTCCAGAACTAGTAAAAGAAAAATATAACAAAGTTGAATATAATGCGTGTTGAATTCATTACAGACAATAAAAACAAATCGAGTAAAGAACTGTTCATATGAAGTATTCATAGATATGAAAACGTAAAACAGATAACAAAAACAAACAAACAATAATTTAATATTTTTCTAAGCGAAACCCCATATTCTCAAAATCTTCTCATAACGTGTTTCATGCGTACATATACATACTTTGACATTTCTATATATGGGTTTTGTAAGAATGCGGTTGAATACACGTTTCAAGGATTTGATTTGAATATCAAGAACAAATTCTATAACAATTTTTTTTAAACGAAGGGGTTAATTAATTATCTGGGAATTAAGCTAAATCGTCACACTTTATATGTGTATACATATTATATATATATATATAAGCGTGTTAATTTAAATAACTTTTCTGTGCTAAGCTGCGCGGGTGCATTTTTTTATTTATTTTCTTTGACATAAGCTTCAGAAACAATCAGAAGCTTTCGGGTAGTATTAGTAAACGCTCAATATATATATATATATATTCTCTAACTGTATAGCCATGTTGGATGGGGTTAGGTTGGAAAAAATTACCAACTTGTGGGAGTAAAAAACATTGTTGTAAATAAAACTATATATATATATATATATATATATATGTATAGATGCGTGTGCAAGTGCGATGTGGCTTGTCTTCTCGGCCTCTTCTTGATTTTGCCGTAACCCTTCCGCGCTCGGCCCAAATAAAACTCACTCGGCTCGGGTTCGAGAGAATTATTTCGGGTTTAATTTAAAGGGGCCGTCAATTTCGGTTGGGTTGCACGAAATTGGATTGGTATTGTTATGAACCAAATAAAACATATAATTATACAAAGCTGCATCGAATTTCATACAGATGATATAAAATATAATCATAACGAAACCGAGTGAAATTGATACAATGTGAAATAAAACATAGTCACACCCAAAGCAAATAACTCGATTTCGAATTAAAAAGCCCAAAGGTTGTAATAAAGCCCAATACGGCCTTATGTGATTGTGATGCGACACACTCGACTTAATCCGCGGGACTAATTGTATAATTAATCCTTAATTTCAGAATGTAAGCTCTTGGCATTTTATTACAAAACCATATAATATTGGGGGAAAAATATTAAAAATAATTAATAAACATTTTCCTTTTTGCGTTGTATTCAAGTCATTCACTATGCTCCAATCTTGTATTATTTAATTGTCGTACGGTATGATGAGTTGTAACATGGAGACAAATTTTAGGCGGAATTTCTATATTACGAGTAGTTTAACAATAATTTCGGACAAGGTTGATTTCCACTGCTCGTCCGTATAATAATCCATTTAATCATACGATAACATATATTATGTCCCAATAAAATTATTTAATACACTAAACAAAGCTACTTTCAGCGCCAAATTAGTTGATCTATTGTAATCATCTTCACTTCACAGCTGCATGCAATTAGAAAACGATCAGTCTCCCTATGGTTATGGTTTGTTTGTTTTTTTTTCTATATATTTTTTTTGCTTGGCATCGAAATAACAATCAGGGTTTTGTTTCATCAATAACAACATATAAAACTATTTCAATTCAATTAGATTTTTATATGTTTTCTATAAAAATCTATGTAGGTTTATAAAAAAAGACAAACAAAACTCGAGATTATGTTTATATCATTGGGGGATATTTTAGGAAATATCAACTATAAACACTTGTGATTACACGTAGGGTCTGTGAAACCAAGTTTTGTAGTTTCGTGAAAAATGGAGATTACATACAAATATTTGTTTTTTTTTATAATCCGGAAGTTCACCGGGCCAAAAGCCCGACTATATCTCCCAGAGGACCAGAGAAACCCTTCTGAATGCCCTTCCCACGCTTGGATTTGAACTCAAGATAAGATTACATACAAATATGCATGCATGTTCCCATTAATTTATCTACCATCTAATAATGATCAGAACTCACCAACTAATTATCATATAAAATGCATCGTACATGCATATATATGTGTGTGTATATATATATATATGTGGGTATAGGGAAGGCTAATAAGTGGAATCTCCCAACGCATGCAAAAACTAGAGTAAGACTTTCTCATCAAATACGTATTCTCTCTCTCTCTCTCTATCTCTATCTCTCTCTGGTGGTTTCTCATGTAGCTTTCGAACATTCAATGCTTTAACCGCGTATACTTACGTTCTCTTACACATGTATATGTATATGTGTGGGTGTTTATATATGTATACATGCGTGTAAAGCTACAGGCTCCCAAACAAACCCTTTATTCTTCTCCTCTATCCTTTCCACTAACTCATGAATCTGCGACGAATTCGAGCAAACAACGCATAGAAATCTTGGTCCTTTTGGTGTCTATATATACGTGTCTATACATACACGTGTGGGGTAGAGGAAGGTCAGCGCTTGATGCCAATGCAGAAACCGGTGATGAGGTTGTCTGAAATGGCGGTTTTCGGGCCATTCGGGGCAGGTTCGAGGGAGGAGACAGCGTTTGCGTTTGCAGATGCCGAGGATTACAGCGGCTGCGTTTGGCCGCTCAAGACTTACACGTGCAGCTTCTGCACCAGAGAGTTCAGGTCGGCTCAAGCCCTCGGCGGCCACATGAACGTCCACCGCCGAGACCGAGCTCGTCTCAAACACAACCAAGAAGCCGATCACCAAGTTCACGTTCTCAAAACCAATATTCTCTGTCTTGTTTCCAAGAATCTTTCAGAAGATTCAAGAAAGTTCGATGCTCTTGCTGAAGATCCTGCTAAGAACCAAGAGAATGGTGAGGTCAGGACAGATTTGTCAATGGGTTTGAACTCGGAGCTGTGTCAGAAACCGACAACGAGATCTTATTGCAAAAGGGCCAAACCGAATCTCATTTATCGTCACGAGGAATTGGATCTCGAGCTGAGATTGGGGGCTCATTATGATGACAAGCAGAAAGGTGAACTGAGAACAATCATATAGCAATAATATGATTCATGGAGAAAAATAAATCCTTGAATTTATTGTCTTTTTTTCTTTCTTTCGGGCACGGTCCATTTAATTTCATGAGAGACAAACGAGAGGAAAACTGAAGCCAGAAGAATATTACAGCATTTGATCATTAATATTTCCTTGACATCTGAAAATAAAACATCGGAGAAAGAATGGGTTCGAATGCAGTTATATTCGACATTTTTCATACATACATTACACACACTGACCTATATTGAATTTCAAACTCTAAAACAAGAATAATTGGGCATCTCAAAATTTTTGAATATATTGCACCAAATAAACGGTCATTTCTCAAACCAAATATTTTTAAAATAAGGTTGGAAAGTTGAAACATTACAACCCAAAATTATACGAATTGTGGATTTCTTCTTTTGCATGTTTTCAAAATCTGAAACTGTGTACACATACGTAGTGACCACGGGCTGATTTTTTAATGGGTTTTGTTTGGTTCATGTGAAGAAGAAAAACCACAATTATTATATACAAATATGAAATGTCTATTGTATTTGTATTTAAAATCTCTATTTGGAAGTTGAAATACATAAAAGTGATAGAGAGAGAGAAGGGTCTTGTCCTTTGTTTTTAGGCAAACAGAGCTGATGTAGGAACCAATCATACCTGAAAACCTTCCAGGTAACAGAATCTGCCCACTAAACTCGAGACGACATAACGATGAATGGACCGACTTGACTACCGGGCTTGTTAGTTAGGCCCATTTAAATTGGGCCTACATTAGGCTCATTAATTCCATGAGATTTTTATGGGCCGTAAGCCCAACCTAAGGGTATTTTAGTCATTTCTTAGTAGTCCACCCTTCTTCCATGTAATTGATTTTATTAGATATTTATATTAGATTCGAGAAAATGTGTGGACTTGCAGTCCAATTAATGGGCCTATTCTGATATGAGGCCCAACCCAAGTTCTCGGTTTTTGCCGACCCTCACCCGGGAATATTACTCAAATAACCCACTTGGGTCGCAGCAATTTCAGTGTACACCACCGAAAAAAAAAAAAAAATTTGCGACCTTATTACGACTAATATATAACTAATATACAACTTATTACGACTAATAAACTACTCTTATTTTAGTTGTATATTAGTTATATATTAGTCGTAATAAGGTCGCAAATTTTTTTTTTTTTTTCGGTGGTGTACCCTGAAATTGCTACGACCCAAGTGGGTTATTAGGGTTAAAACCCCCCTTGCTTCCATCACGCCAACACTCCCGGTCCCGGTGAGGAAGCGCGACTATGGCGGCGACTGACAAAACTAAGCATT